CCCGGGGCGCCGGCGACATGCCGGCAGCATCATCAGGGGGGCGGGGCCGGCGGCTGACGTCAGGGCCGGCGGGACAGTTTAAAACGGCCCGCCGGCACAGGGAGAGGAACTCTCCTTCGGGGGAGCGGGAGGTAGACCGCATCTCAGGATGGACCGGGGACGCACCCAAGCGTGGCCGGTGGTGCAGCTCTGCGCTCGGGGATCCCAAGTCAGCCCCCATCGCAGACGGGCTGCTAGCCCAGGCTCCAGCAGTGACCCGGATAGTGCGCAACGACTACGCAGGGAGCGGCCTGACTGGGCGAGAAGACGTGGCAGACGGCTGGCCCCCGGGTTTGGTACAGACCAGCCCCCGACTCCTCCAACTGAGGCACGGTAAGCCACGCGAAGGGACGGATCGTCCAAGGGCGTGGGGTGAAGGGAGGAAGCAGCCCGGGGCGGAAGCCTTCTGGCACCCGTGGGTAGACGGGTTACGGGAGGAGTGACCCCCGTCTACCGCGTCGGGGCGCGAGCAAGCCCCGACGCTTAGGGCCCCGAGCTGGGACCCGGAGAGAGGGCGGGACCGGGTCCCCCTCCCTCCACCAGAGGAACGTCCAGCTCCGAGCGACGCCGGCGTAGGCGTGTAGCAGAACCAAGTCATGCACCTCCAGGAAGTGGAGGTCAGACTAAGGGGCTCAGGCCCCACCCCGCAGAGATGGGTAACGACTTCTGGGTCCGCTGACCCCCCCCCCCCCCCCCCCCCGGGGGGGGGGGGGGACCCACCGCGGTCACGAGACGAACCCAAAAGAGGCGAAGGGGTCCACCGAACCCCCCTCTCGACCTGGGAGGGGGTGATCACACCCCTCACCCCTCACACTGATCATAAAGAACTTACAGAAAATATTTTATAATTTCTCTTAGGAATCTCAGTAGTTCTTTTCTTTATAACAATAATGCCTACAAGTTGTTATTCTCTGACAGACTATAAAAGTTAACAATAAAAGGGATATATTGATATAATTATATTTCATTGGGCTCTTGTATTACCTTCCATCATTTTTCCCCTAATGCAATTCTGACTCGCTGGACCATTTGTCCAAACTGCATGTCAGTGGCATATCATTCCACTAAGAGAAAGCAGAGGCCCAGGACTATAATGCACCCAATTAATCAAAAGGAAACATTCAACAGCTGATGGCTGAGTGAAGGATACCTAGTGTATAAATGTTAAGGCGAAAGCTTTATTACACCCAATCTTTATAATAACAGAAACTTCTGGTGGAGAAGGAAAAGGCTAAAAGATTGCCTTTTTTGAAAGTTTACCTTAGAACGACAAAGTCTCTGCCAGGATGGGGTGCCATGCTATTCAGTACATATTGGTATATTTCTGTTTGCTTATCCAGAGTTTCTACAACTTTCCACTGCAAGAAGTCCTCATCCCAAAGGTGACGTTCTCGTAGGACTCGATTCAGTACAACCGACGGGGGTGCTTCAACTTCCACGGAAGCTTTCCAAAATCTGAGTGGGTTGCCATCCCCAACCTGGAGTAAACAATACAGAAAAAAAGAAATGCTGGATTTATGACTATGTTCTCAGTGTGGAATGAGTCAAGAATTTTCGGTGAAGACTTTAAGCTCAAGCTTAAGATGAAGTTTCACAGCATTTATATTTACAGGCATGTTCAACATTAAAACATGTGTGTGCAGAAAAATGAGACAGTAGGTAAAATTCTGTTCTTGCAGCAATGTAAATCTGGATTAGCTCCTCCAATGGCACTGGCATTATTCTATTTATACTGGTGGAATTTATATTGTGGAATTTCCCCCAAAGTGGTCATAGAATGTTTGTAAAATAGCTGGAAAGAAGGACAGAAGAAAGAGTAGGCAATATACAATAAGATTAGGATAAGACTGATTTCTTTGTCCAGCTCCAGAATCTCTGATTGCCCTAAAAGGGGCTCATGTTTAACATGAAACACTCAGGCAACCTGAGGTGATGTATTTTTGGCTAATCAGTGGCATTGCATTAACCAGAGTTTTCAAAGGTAACTGACATGGTCACTCATTCTTCTGCCTGGGTGGATAAAGGTTCCTCTTTCTGGGGCTCCAAAAGTAGTAAAATAGCTTTTATAGCAAAAAGTCTGCTCATAAGCCCTTGGGTTCTGTAAACTGATTCAGCTCTGTAATGGGGAGAAAACCACAGAGAACCCAAGCTCATAGGAAAGCGGGGCTGCAGGGATAGCCCCTGTGCTGTGGCAGGACCAAATAAACCTAGACTGCCCCTGACAGGTGTTTGGCAACCTGTTTTTAAAACTTCCAGTGATGGAGATTCCACAACCTTCCTTGGAATCCTATTCCAGAGCTTAACTCCTCTTCAAAAGATTTTCCTAATATCTAACCTAACCCTCTCTTGCTGCATATTAAGCCCATTTCTTCTTGTCCTACCTTCAGTGGAGAGGGAGAACAATTGATCACAGTCTTCTTATAATAGCCCTTAACAGCACTTCCCCTTCTCTTTTCATGAGTAAACATGGATTCTTTTAACTTTTCCTCATAGGTCAGTTTTTTCCAACCATTTATCATTTTGGATACTCTCCTCAGGATTCTCTACAATTTGTCCACAATTCCCAAAGTGTGGACCCAAGTATCAGACACAGTATTCCAGATGAGGTTCACCAGCGCCAAATAGAGCAAGACAATTACCTGCCATGCCTTAGATACAACACTTATATTAATGTAGCCTAGATTGATATTAGCCTTTTTTTTGGTAGCTGCATCACATTGTTGATTCCTGTTCAATTTGTGATGTATGACCCCAGGTCCTTTTCAGCAGAACTACCATCGCGTCAGCTATTCCCATTTTATAATTGTGCACTTGTCTTTGCTGCATTTCATTATGTTGATTTCAGACCACTTCTCCTATGGATCAGAGTCATCTTTGAATTCTAACTCTGTCCTCCAAAAGTACTTGGTACCCCTGGCAACTTAAGTCACCTACTGTCATGATCATGAGAGTTAGCCAGCAGACTGGGGATTAAGGGATTTTTGGTTTTTCCCTCCTTTGTCCTTGGGCAGTTTCTTTCCAGCTACTGAGAGGGACAGACGTCATAGCTGTCTCCAAGAAAAGACTCTTCACTATCTGCAAGTAGAGTAAAGTTTAGATCAGTGGTCCCCAACACGGTGCCCGTGGGCGCCATGGCGCCCGCCCGGCCATTTGTGTGCCGGAGCCGGCCCAGGGCGCATGGTAAGCGCTGCCCTGGGAGCGTCGCCAATTGGCCGCGGCGCTTGGGAGAAGGGGGGCGCCGGCCCCAGGCGCGCGGCACTTGGGGGGGGTGCCGGC